TGACTGCTGCAGGAATACAACTGGGTTATCCCGAAATTTGCGACTGCACACGAGTGTCACATACGCGCTCGCTGCAAATACAAACCGTACTTCCGCCTCCGAGGACGGCCCTTGCTATTTGCAGAAGAACGGGTTGGCAGTTGTACAAGTGTAACATCACTTGAGAGCCCGCCGGAATGAGGCTGAGGGGCAGTGGTACCATGGTGTCTTTTCCACGCTCCACCCACGTTATCTTCTAGGTGCAGCCGCTACGTCGATACCAAGGTTCCGCAGCGAACGCGCACCCGGCGGTAGCGAAGAGAGCGCAGAAGTTAGAGAGCGCAGACAATTAGTGCGTGTGGCTATGGTTGAACGTGTTGCTCGCTGTGCTTGGAGTTCAGGAACGGCAGCCGGTTATCGCCAACCTCGAGCCCCGTTCCCGTGCACTTTCGAGTGGAAAAAGTGCCACGCTACAGTAGCTGCAGAGTCATTCACCTCACACATAGCAAAGAACAGGATCTACGGAGGTAGTGTACAGTTTATTTGCAAAGATGCTGTCTAGTTCCCGTTCTGACCTTCTCAAAAGCCGATATTTTTGATCGATAGTAGGCGTCACTATCGAGTTTCAGTCTCTGCAAATGTGTTCACTCACTGGTGTGATCCATTACACCTTTCCTCGCCTCTGCGCAGATACCGACTTTGTTCATTTTGATTAATTGATATGTATGAAAATCACTCGTATGGCGTTTTCATACATTAGCCATCCCCATCAGTTTGAACACTACAGGCGACACGAGGATTCCATGAATATCGTGACTAACAGATGACAAAGATGAATCAGCTGAGTGGGGAATATTCGGATTCAGTTAGGCCTTTGATGAAAATACTGGTCTCTTTTTCATCCTATTTCGGAATAAACTTCACAGGCTGCTGAGTAACTTTATTGGAACCTACATACATATCCTTCTCTAACCAGTGGCAATAACTAACATGATGACTTGGTTAGTCTTGTAGGTCCTCCAAAATGTTTTCGTAGGGTCGACAACCCCACGAAAACATTTTGGAGGACCTACAAGACTAACAAGGGAGATTTCCTACAATTCAATTATACAGCCGGGTCTCATGGCGAGCTCAGTCCAGCCGTGCTATCTTCAGGAAAAGTCTAAGGAATCAACTTATTGCGAAGAGTGAGAAATACAGTGTAGAAAAAACTTCAAGTGCGCTTTCCTTTTGTTTTTTATACAATTCCAGCGGTACTGTATTGAGCGTATGATGAGTTCAAAGAACTAAAGTGAACATAGAGGTCATGAAAAAGATTTTCCGCCGCGCACGAATACTTTTCGGGATGCGGCACGCATTCCAGCTTCACTCAGAAATGTAAGGGCTTTTTGAATGCGATACGGCGTGCCAATGTGGAGCTAGTCTTCCCATCCTTCTCGACTAATATAATACAGTTTAGCAGTTAATCTGCCGAAGGTAGATGGGAACTTTGTGGTCCCAAGCGAGAACAGATCTGGAATGTGAAGGACAGCTTGATGGGCGTACGAACTGCCACTATTAGGACCGGAACGGCTTGGTTAGTTACTGTGAATCCGCAAAAGTGGGGCAATATTAGACTGCGGACCAGGCTACATACTTGAAGAAGGAACGCATACGAATCACTTGGACGCGAGGAGCGAGGCTGCCTTTAGAATGAAGAATATAGAATTATTATTGACCTCATTAACGTTATTTTCAATCTTTTTTTCAAATTTTTATTCGGTCACTTTGCTGAGAGCTAATCTTTATTAAGTATTGCTCACTTTTCAGTAACTACGGGACAATTGATAGAAGTCTTGACGGATCTTACACTGGAACGCTGAGAAAAGCAGAGCGACGTGCTCAGACACCACCACATTCCATGCATTCGGTATGCTTTGGTTCAATTTTTTGCAAAAATATGTCATTTCAATGGTCATTTTAGCTCCCACGAGCAATATCACGGTACTCGCATCAGATTGGCTCTTTGGACGACCTGCCACTGTCATTACCTGCTCTTTCACCAAATCTGAATTCTGGGAGAAAATCCAGCCAAGCTGAGTCTAGTGCCGCAATTCAGCACTACGTTGAGAGGTTAGCTTTTCAGAAGGCGCAAATGTTACGGCAGCTTATTTTAGAAGATTTCAGGCTAGCAGAAGATGAGAGTACCGTTTTCGGCGCGACGCTGAGGCGATTCATTGAGTGTACTGTTCAAAGCGAAGAAGCGGACCCCAGTGTGGTTGTGCGAAATGTTCGGCAATTCATCAACGGCATCAAGAATTACCTTGTCAAGCATGGAGAAGGTTAGCACCCTCCTGTTTTTGAGCAGCTTCATCTCCTCTTGCGCACTTTTTAGGGAGTAAAGACGGGCCCATATGCTGAATAACTGAATTAGTTTTGCGAATTTTGGCACCTACCTGCTGTCACAACTTCCACTGACTCCCACTGGTGCTTGTTCTTCTGAATGGAAATCCTTAGCGCACATAATTGATATCCATTCCCATGCATGTGCGGCGGGAACCGAAATGTTCGAACAAAAGAACCCACCCTCAAGAGCCCCACTTATCCAAGAAGGTCTGGGAGCCATTTTGACATTCTTTTGTCCTCTACGTACAGGGTGCTTATATATGAGTAACGTTTTACCTTGGCTGGTTGTAGTGCGTGGAGCATGTGATCACCATAGATTCTCTCGCGCATAGCCAAGTTAACTCGCGTAGTTAACCAGCAAGGACGGTTCGGCTTGGTGGGGGAAGCTTGTACAGGTCACCTTGTAGTAATATGATTTCGTGGGATCAAAGGGGCTTCAACGAAGGGGCTTACAGGCCTGAACAAAATGATACATGTTAGTCAACATGAACTAATGGGGAAACTAGCGAAAATACAAAGTGCCCTAACAGTAACTAACTAACTGTCACTGTACGTTCAAACCCGTGTGGCCTTACCATGGTCTGAAACAGTGCAGTTCAGTTCAGCATCCAGAAATGCTCTAAAAATGGCGGCAAGGGAGGCGTAGATGAAGCTGAGGTGAAATTAAGGGGGGTCGCATTTGAGGTAGGAAGTTGTGCTCAGCGACCGCTTTTACTTCTCTTCATTACCTGCTCTAGTCTCGAGTGCATTTTCCTTATGCTGCAATTTCAAGGTGATCTTCACGGTCTCATCGATCAGGAAAGCTCTCATCTCAATGCGAATCAGATCCTCAATATCGACGCTATACTTGAAGCTGTACTGCACAAACTACTGCTCAGTGAGTTAAAGTTCTTACATGCATTGCTTTGTAGGAGGTGTACGAGAAGATATTTGTAAGGTGTGAGTTGCAATGTTAGCAACTGGCCTGAAAGGAAAAGTGTTTTCAGAGCGCGTGAAACCTCATCTTTATCATGTGATGGTGAAGGACCATTCAAGGGCAGGTGGTTTACAAGCGTTGTCTGCCAACATCGCCTACGTACGGACCCTGAGCCTAGCTGAACTAGGGTTTGCTGATGCTGATCAGGTTTGTTGAGCCAACCTGGTATCCTTGAAACCTTGCAGTTTATTTTTCATCCGGAAAGTTCAATATTACTTCTGTCACAAATGTTTTTGTTAAGCTGGTCACGCCGTCAGCATCAGTAATGGAGCAAATCAAAAACTGCTTGAGAAAAATGCAACATCATTACTCGCCGTTGAAAAAGCTTGAAAATCTTCTCAGGTATTATTATAACCTTTCCCTTACATAGAATACATTGATCGTCTCAAAATCCCTATTTCAGAGCCATAAGCATCGTCTTGGGAATACAAACGAAAGATGACGAGAAGGACAACCAGAAGATTATAGCGGCCGATGGTTAGTGTTTTCAAATGTCTGTTTTCTCAGAAAACAATGACATGCGAGGGAATGACCCTGTTTTTACGCGCGGATGGGGCCTCTACTAGGGCACGTCCTACTTTCGAGATCCCCAGCGAGGGCGGGGTCGTCCTTGGTCGCTGGGGGGAAGGAAGGTTGTACTTAGCTTCGACGTTTTGTTGATCCTTCTCTGATTTTCCCGTTTTGTGTATGTCACCCCTCCCCTAATCCGGCAGTTTTTGGGGGAAAATTTGTCGAATTTTTTGGAAAAAATAATTAAAAATTACTCTGGAAATGTGGTTCAAAGCTGGTAACATTTGGGAAGATGGTGGTTCGGATGGGGATGGGGAAGGAGAAAAAAAAGCAAAGGGCGAAGTTTTCAGGGGGGAGTCGTGAAGGGAGGAGGGCACCCTGGTCTTAGCGCAGCCTTCCTATTCTATCCTTATACGTTGATGTTCAGTGGAAGCGGGCATATTAGATGGTGGATAAGGAGTTTGGCACTCTGCTGGCGATGCAACAAAGGCAGTGTTCTCGCCTATAATTCCTAATCTTACTATATGGGCACAGAACAAGGAAGAGCGGTGGAGGA